TTTATATATATATATATATAAAAATATGTCTGTGTGCGTATACACATTCATGTTGAGCACAGACAGCACGCACCCCATACCCATGCTGCCTGATGTTTAAAGATGAAGGCCAATGAGAGGACTAAGGGTACTCTATCAGAAGAATCAAATCTGAAGAGAAGTGTGAATCAGAAGCAGAGACGACTGCAATTCTCAGGGTCTTACTAATCCTGCTAACACACCCAGCTGGATTCATTAGCACTGGCAGGATCAAATCCCACAGGGCAGCCTGGTGCAATACAAAGGGAATACAAACAGATGGAGCATGTAATTGCTACACTGGAACTTTAATCCAACCAGATGGCTCAGCAAGGAAGCACTTTCATGAAGAGCTCAGGTACACCAGATATGGCTCATTCTATTCCATGACTCTCAAATCCAGTACAAAAAATAGTGCAGGGCCCCACGAATTGAGCTGCACTGACTTTGCTACTGCTCACCAAAGGTTTTTCCACATAGTTTTAAGAGCAGAAGCTCGTTTTATACTTACATATCCAACCATTTCTTATGCACAGGCTGCAAAGAAACACTTTCCTATTAATATACGTAAATGAATAGCAGGGACTAGAGAAACGAAGCAAAAGCTGCCAAGAGAGGCATTCTGCGTGGGAGGGCGCTCGCTGGTTCTGACAGCAGACTTCCTGAACGCTTGCAAAGTCTTTGGATGCACTGCAATGTGTAGGCAGCTCTGAAGAGTGACATTTCTAAGCTTCACAAAACATATATACACAATTGGATTTCAAATGTTGAAAACGCTGCACTATTTCCCAAAACACAAAGTCTTCATTTACATTAACAGGACTAATGCAACTGCACAGGAGGAGGAATATCTTTTCCTTAGGGTGGAAGCCAGTATCCCCAAGGACCTTTGCTGATCTCCCTCAAGATTTTAGGGTTTGAATTCATGCCAACACACACTGCCAAGCCAAAGGAGAATAAATAATATTGATGGCACTGCTGCTCCAAGGCTAAGTTTCATTAAAAAGCTATCACAAAAACTAAATAAAGCCAGGCACTGAAAATAACAGCACATCAACATGGACAGAAAACATACCAGTGCTCTGTAATGCAAACAAAATGAACAATCTTCCCCTAGATGAGAGATCAAATCACACTGCAAAGAAAATACTCCATACTGTCATATTCTGAGCAAGGAGAAAATATTTGTAGAACAGATTGATCAGTACGTGCTGTAATGAATTTTTTTTAATCATTTTTTCCCCCAGTGATTCACCCTCAAGGGTGAGGAAGCGGAATATTGCTGCCCTCTAGCGCTAATTCAGAGCTGACAGCTCCATACATTAACCAGCTACTGGGAGATTTCAGGTATCTATTACCTAAAAACTTGGGTGTTTTCTGTGATCCGCAAGGCATAAACAGTACATACTCCAAATGCTTTCATGCAGTCTTAGAAGAAAGGTTCAACACTATTTTAGAAGTATCTGTTGCTGCTTATGATGTGTGCTAAAGACTCTGAAGAAAGCAGAACATATTTCCAAAGCTTTCAGGGCACACTGTAACGTCTGTTTAGGTATCATTATAATTTGGACCCTATTTTACACACAGCATTTATTCCTACACTAAAAATGTTAAACAGGTTAGTGATATTAGCCTGAAATTCCTCATCTTGCTGCAAACATAAATCCTTTCAGAAAAGGCCAGCTGGGGTGTTTCTCAGTTTACCCACAGCAGAGGCAGATGAAGAGACCCCTTACACAAAGAAATGGGAGCACGGCTAAGCAGTGTGGGGAAGATTTGGGAAGGAAGGACCAAGCCCCAGACAACTCTGTTGCATTGCTACGTGGTTGCACATTTAATACAATAAAAACTCACCAAGACTAGGGATTTCACCTGAAAATATCCCAACAGTGAGTTAGCTAAAGATGCTCAAATTACTAAGCTGAAAGTCATTACTGACAACGGAAAGCACGGGGTTTTGTTCAGTTTGTGGTAGCTAGAATAAAACTCTGGTGTACTTGGCTGTGCCAGGAGGTGGCAGCAAGACTGAAGTGAACAGAATCTGTAATTTACTACCTTCACGTTTGTTTGAAACAATGATCGCTTTTTTCTGGAACACGCTACTCACGTTAATGCCAAAGTCTGGTGATGTTGAACTCCAGATAGCACCAATACTTGCAGCAGCCAGCATTGCTTCCACCGCGTGGATGCTGTTTGGTAAGTAACCTACGGCAGAATTTGAGCGGTTAGAGATAGAAAACTAAAAAATACCAAATCTTACAGTAATGTATACAATAGCTGGTCTAAACACGGTTTAAAACAATGAAAAATCCTAGACTGAAGCATCCTTTAAAGTCTTCCACATGATCACAGTGTCCTCCTTTGAAGTCAAATCAGTTACACAAGGAGTTAGAAATAATTACATTTATAAAAATAGTTCAATCAGGTTTTAGATCTACAAAGTTACTCCCCATTTACAAGTGTTTCTGCTTAATTAATGAGATTTTCAGGATAAGAGGGTTGTACATTGAAAAGGAACAGAGTAAGTTTGTGGATTGAATAGAGTACACAGATCAAGCATAATACATCATACATCATGCAGAGGAACAGAACAGGTCTGCAGAACCATAGCCACCGGGTGGAATGAGTACCTGGGAGGAAATATAATAAATACTCAGTTCAAAAGCAGAGATTCAGCTTCACAAAGCTCAACTTTTTCTGGTAGGCGCTGCCAGAATCTTAAGCACGAACAAGGACAACCAGTGTTAGAGCTGATAAAGGACTGATACAGTGAGATAAGTCCTGGAATGTCCCCACACGCGTGTAGCTCCTCAGGTTTGTCTCATGAGTTTGCAGCAAGGTTTCAAGATTTAAGTTCACTTTATCAAGGCATACAGATGATGTTAAGAAAGTTAGATTTTCAGTGAGCTCAATTTGAGCAACTCTCCAGAAGGAGCTCGGTGACTGAGATTGATTCTGAACTGATCAGAATCCACCCCACGAATTCAAACATGCAACTGCAATTCATAAGCTACACTAAAGCAGATCAAAGATCTGGAGTTTCAGATCATCCTTTTAAAGCAATTGAGATACGTCCAAGTACTTAAAAGAAGGCACACGACAGGCCTAATGACAGCACTTAGACACCTAGAGTTCAGTGTCTGAAAGCAAATTTAAATGGCAATAAAAACGCTTTCCAATCTATTTAACTGCAGTGCAAGCTGCAGGTGCTCCACAAGTATTGATCAGACAGCAAATCTCACAAGTGCTAGGCTGTGTTTTCCAGTGTAGATATTTATGTTTGTCCATTTCAGGACAGGAATCAAGACCACAGAACTTCATACTTTCTTTTACATTATCAAGTAGGAGGGTATTGTTCAGCGAAGTTCTTCAGTACACCAAGTGCAGCAAAACTTCATGCCCATAAAGGCGTCATTTTGCTATTTTTCCATTAAGGTCAAGGTTTATGATACAAGGTACAGTATCTCAAAATTTTAGTGATTTTTATTTTAAGAGAAATCTTCCTCCCTGAACAACAGCTTGAAATTTGAAATGTGTGAACCAGAACAGACCAAAGGGTCATTTTGTGCAATGGAAGCAGGTTTTTTGTTTTGGTTTTTTTTTTCAATTGATGCCAAATATTTGCATTTCTTATTTGCAATGAAAACTGCAAGGCATCTCTTCACGCTCTGGAGTGGTTACAAGTTTTACACCTTCTCCTTTTCACCACTCCTACGAAAGCCCTGAAGGCAAGAGCACAGTCTCTGCCTATTACCAGGCAGACAATTAAATCATTACTTTCATTTGTCAGGTGGTTTTGAGGTGCTGCTTGAGTTTTAGAGGATGAGCCAAAACCACCAAAAGGTATGAAACACCCAAAGCAACTTCCTCTGCAGTTCTGTATCTTCACCAACCACTGCAGGCAGCCAGCCTGCTCACCGGGATGTTCACATATTTATTATGAACCCCAGCACCTGGTACTGTGAATAAAAGTGTGGTTCTGTTCTGGAAAGAAATCCTCCAGACACAGCAATGTAGGAACTCGTGTTGCTTCAACAGCTCCCAACAATAAATGACACAAACTACCCCTCATGTCAGTCTTTCAAATTAAAACTGGATTCTCGGAAATAAAAGTGATATCTCTCTCATCGGATTCTGCAAACCAATTACAGCAACTGTCATGAACACAAAACTCCCTGCATCTGACTGCACCCCTTGAGGTATCAGCTGGGCCCTTCAATCTTTCAGCAAATAAACAGAAATGCTGCTGACAAAGAGAATGAAAAACCCAGGTTTCAGCTGGATCACATCAGGAGTCACATAACAGCACCCTATGCACAGAAGCTCTGTACTGCAGAAGAATAATGGTGCAGCTAATATAAATATTCATCATATGTTTGTTCACATATTCAACTAGAGCCTCCATGTTCCTCGATATGATATTTCAGTGAGGATCAAAACCAGCATTTGTCACATGGATACAGTCCACAGAAGGCACTTCTCCACCTCTGTATCTTAACTCACCCCATTCTAGAAGCAGGTAAAAGAGGCAGAAACTACCTTCTCTTACTAGAAGAGGATCTTCATACCCTCTTTGGGTTAACTAGAAAGCAATTGAATACAGGGCTCAAAACACAGGAGCTGGGAACCCAACAACTAAGAATTCAGAGTATGACACACCAAGGGTCCTAGCAGCACTGCCCCTGACTCATAGCTATAAAATCTCCCATAAGGACAAAGAAACAGAAGCTTTACTTTGACATAAAACCCATGATGAATGTGTAAGCAGGGCAAGTGATATCTTAAAAACACTGTATGGATTTTTTTTTAAGAAGCATTTACAGCCTGATCTGCTCAGGACAGCGTTTTCTGTCAGTTGCTATTTACTTGATCTAACATACACCAAGATTAAACTTGGATCTACTCATTTACACTTCAGTATTTTACCAACAGAACAGGTAAAAACCATAGTCCAAACATTTCTGGTATCATCATGCTGGAAATTATGTCCAAAATATCAGTTCCGAGTGCTGAGAATACATTCCCTGCAGGCACCTAATGCCTTCATGAGGTAGAATAAATGTGTGCTCAGAAACAGAGGCATCCAAACACTTGTGGTCATTTGAATTTAAAAATAAAACCAATACAAAACACTCCCAAACTTGGACCCTGCACCAAAGATTTAGTTCAAGCCTCGAAAGAATGCATCAGGAGGAAAGAAAGTGGGGGGCTGCAGCTGAAATACCCTCTCACTGGGTTGTACTATTGAGCTACACCAGCTCTCAAACAGAAGAGAACTCAAAGACCAGATTTCGAGTTTATTTTTGATGTTAATGTATCATTTCATACTCCTGCAGGACTCTGAACTGGTCACCCTACCTAATATTACTTGGCCTGAGACTATTAGTAACACACTAATCTTCTTACAAAGCTAGCTTTAAAACCCACGTAAGCAACCAGGGCTAATACAGTTACTACAGATAAAACACCAGCTTTGAACAATGCAATTCATTGATGTTTTGTTGAGGAGTTTTTGTGTGAACACACAGGGAAGATCAGCTCGTTTTTAACTGCTGACTTGTAATAGAACAAAGCTGGCTACAGGGATAGAATAGAAGCAACCTATCCAGAGCTAAAAACCCAGATACTCCCAGTTTTATTTGCCTGCTGCTGCAGTCGTTATTTGCCAACAGATGGCCAGTGGGAGACCACGAGTACTCCACATGTGGATTTGTGCAGCTCGTGTTAGGTGGTGTATCTGTTTCTTCCAACTGTTCAAGCAGTATTACGAGACATCTTTAGAAGAGCTACGGATCACCACACATGTGCTTCAATTACGTTTACTATTAAGTGCTCTTCTCCTCAGTGATGGAAAGGGAACACCAGGACGAAATTGAGCTGAAAAAGTGCTGACATTGCTGCTTGTCTGCACATGTTCACCCACCTCCCACTTTAACATACAATTTATGGTTGCATCATGACAGGAATAGTATTGAACAAACTAGGGGATGTGTTAAGTACAATGAAAAGTTAAAGCAGTCTTGTCTTAGAGGCAGCGAAGCGTGGAAATTAAATTCACAAGAAGAAAATGTTAACAGTCTTGTGTGCAGTTCTAACAGCTCGAGATTTTAAGTCACTTTAATAGAAAGTGGCAACAAAGGGCATCAGAACCTGGCAGGCTGACTCAGTGCTAGGCAACTATAATAAAGTTAAAATACGTCTTCTATTTAAAAGTTGGTTTTTCAGGAGCACTAAAAGCAAGCCCTGTATCCCTGCTATCAGCCACGTGAAGAATCACCTTTCCTTCTGCCATCTGCTATAAATACTGGCACAAATTCCATCCCTGGAGATTTTTTGCAAGCTTTGGAGAACGTCATCTTTGACACCACAAGTGGGTGTATGCCCCAAACCTTCCCACCCAACACTTCACATCTCTCCCCCATTTCAATTCAGGATTTGGAGAACAACCCTACAGCCTCAACCTCTGACTGTGATGGGACATTTCAGCTCTTCTCAAAACTGCCAATATAGGAGAGAAACATATGAAAGAAGTTAAGACACAATTTAAAATATGTATCTAAATAGCTGAAATGCTGTTAAAAATCCCATTGGATTTCTTTCACAGTGAAGCTCTCCCTAGGTATGGGCTGCTGCCTAAGCAATCTGTCATCAGTCTAGGACTGGGGGCACCAAGGAAGAGAAAGGAAGAGGAAATCACTTGAATGCTATGGATAATTTTAAAAGCTCCCAAAAACATGCCATGATTTTAAGAACAAAGAGGTTTTGCCTAGACTAATTACTCTCCTGTTATCAAAAAGTAAAGGGCATCATAAGGACTCGAGCATTGCAATAACTGAAGCACATCTTACAAGGGGCCCAGCACAGATACTTGGTGCCTCCAGCAGCTGTGCAGAGAGGTCTGAGCTGTGCAAGTGCCAGGCAGGAAACCTTTGCTCAGGAAACAGACACAGAGGCCACAAAAAAAAACCCCAACAGCTACAGCTTACTCAAGCAATGGGAGCTCAACCCACAGGAGTAGGAACCTGGGATCCAAATAATGTTTTTTGTTATGTTTTCCACGTATTTGTTTCCTTTGTTTTTGTTGCCGGTTTCTTTTGTTAAGTAACAGTGACACCATGAGAAAACCAGAGACTGTGATTTGTGCCTCCTCTTGGAACCACTAAAACTCCTTCCAGGCTTCCCCATCAGAGGCAATACATACATTTTGTTTCCCAAAAACAGAGTAAAGTGCACAGTTAAAATCCTACCCTTTCTGCAGAGGGAAGCCCTGATATTAAGGATTAATTCAACTTGGAGTTGCTATTTTCTGCGAGTATGTAAGAAAATCTGTATAAATAAAAATAAGCAGCATGTAAAGCATACCATTTTATTCATACAGTCTTATTTTTTGAAGTATCAACCATGCTTTTTAATTAAAATAAGAGCTGCCGAAACAACAAACAATATGCAGGAGTCCGTCAGCCTTCAGCTTTGCTATGTGAAACACAGTCATTAACCAATAAAAGTATTAAAATTAGTAACAGCATTATTAGCTTTGTTAGTTCCAATGACTAAAACCATTTCAATAGCATGGTTTTTCTTCGCTACCTACAGAGCACATTTCCCCTGCATAGTCCACCTTACTACAAATCGCTCCAAAAATGAGCACATAATAACAGCATAGTATTTTGTCTTTTCCCAAACGCAGTATTTCTGCATGGTTTTGATTAGAATAGTTAAACACTGTTAATTAGGTTGCAAACAGGACTTTAATTTGCACCTTAGAACAGAAAATCTCCTGCAGATAAAATGCTTTAATCTTAATTCAGAACGAATGTTCCCATTCAGTGTGACTGCACCTGGACATGCTTAAACATCAGTATTACATCTGTTACCCCAGTGAGCAGTGTTTTCCTCCTGGAAATTAAAATCCTCTCATTTACCACCAGACATCAATAAGCAAAGTCTGAAAAACAGATTTTGAACATGAGAATTAGGACAGCAAAGAACAGCAGGTTCTGCTACAGCTACAGCTGCTGCTACTCACGAGTTTACAGCTACTGCCCTCCTCCAGAGCATGTTCACGCACAGCTTTCATTCACACAAAATAAAGACATGTCCAATAGTTACTCTTCTGCGTTGTCCACATTTCATCGTATTATAGATTTGAAACTGGTACAAAGAGACCTTTTTCTCCATTTATGCATGAGATTTAATCCATCAGTTTAGCATAACCAGCAATACACATGAAGAACTGTTTCGACCCTCTTAGGACTTTTATTTACTTATAAAAGAATAAGGAATAGTCCATTAAATCCCCACAAGCAGTCTACAAAACAGCATTTGAATTTGTTTCGTATGCATTAGGAGAAATTTCATTGCAAAAGCCAAAGCAAAGTGCATTCACTGGACTTCACAATGGCAAACAATATTTACAGAAAGCACTAGAAGGTGTCAATAAAAACCTGACTTTGATTGGTTTCATGATGTCCAGGTTTCCAGTTATATACATAGTTAGATACTGTTTTGCCAGTGGTTTAGGGGCAACTTTTTAAAATACACACAACCCACTTTTACCATCTGATGTACATGTCAGAGGACAGGTAGTAAACACTACACTTCAGTGCTAAATACTTCATGGAGTGTAAGTTCTCCTGTTCATTAGTTTGGTTTCAGACAAACTGTTGCTCAAGTTGTCAGCCATGAACGTGACGGTGTTAAGATTGAAAATACGATGCTGTCATTTTGTCTCTAAGTCTCCATTCAGACAAGCCTTCCTGACTTTGCTGGACAGTTCATACCCAATCAAGGATCTAGCTCAAATTCTATGTTAAAAGCTGTGACAATTAAGTGTTCAGTTACCAGTTCTGTGGAATACTCAAACCATATGCATGAAGTATGAGCTCTCAAGTACACTTTATATTTGTAGGTCTTATTTGTGGGTTTAAAGTAATGCACATACCCTTCTGTTTTTGAAGACATGGGTTTGAGTTCTGGTTTTTAACATGCAGAAAACAAATCAAACAGTTTCATCACTTTGGGTTTGCATCACATAAGAATTTACACATACTTGGGATAATGGCCAAGTATTGCTCAAATAACATGTGATTCCAGTAGTGAGATGGATACACACATCAGCAGAACTACCAGGTAGGAGTCAAGGAGCTTCAAGGATATTGCAGTTTTGACTTGCACTACACTTACAAGAACTAAAGGGCCGATATTACAGAGCACATGAAGTACAGAGATTAAGCACTTCAGCTGGAAGATCAAAACTGCAATTTAAAAATAAATGGACTGAGGCCAGCTTGAGTTAACTCATTTCTAGGCCTGGACTGTATACTGTACAAGCTGGTCACAAGACAAAAACCTGTTTATATACAAAAATCCATGTGACAGTCTTATGACAGGGAAGATAAGATTACTCTAGAAATCTGAGAGTTACTGAAAGGATCACAGGATTCTAACTAAGCTCTGCATTGATGTGACTTGAAAAGTTACAGCTTGCCAGCTGCTCACTACCACACTTCTGGAAGACACCACTCCCAAAAGCTCTGGTGGCAGAAGGCAGGACAAGTCCATGCCTCAAGAGCTCCAATTCACAGGGTACTCCATCACTGGGGCCATAGGGTCAGTAATCACCAGCTGGCACCAGAACAACAACCTGGGACAGTAATTTCTAAGACTGCCCCTGCATGAATCTGCCAGACTTTGAGTAAAGGCTCAGCTGGATACAAAGGCTCCACCACTTCCACAGAGCAGGTATGAAGCAGACCCTACTGCAGCTATGAATGCAGTATTTTTGTTCCTCCTCCAGTGCCAGGGAACTTGTAGACTAATCCAGGTTCCTTCCCTCTAGAAGCATATTTCATGCTAATGTAAATATGGCAGCAAAGAGCCTTTTCTTCAGAATGTTTCTGTGAAATAGTATTCCACATTCATGTTTCTATAACCTCGACTACTCAATTGCATATGTCAAGAAAATTTCACCTCTTGACCTTTGAAAAAAAAGCTACTCACCCACAACCCTGTCTCCCACTTTTATTCCCATCTTCCTCATGGCTGCAGCATACAGTGCTACAGCTTGTCTCAGTTCTTCAAAAGTAACTTTCAAGATTTCTTCTTTGCCTTCCTCTGAGGAGAGATTAAAACAACCAGTCAGAAATTAGGCATTGCAACAGAGTCTGGTACAAACAACTAATTCTGGAAGAAAAAGAATACAAAGGAACTTTAGGAGAAGAGTTTCCACTAGTAACTATACTTTTTGCTTTTCAAGTTCCTCTTATGCTGTACCAAGCTTCTCATCCTAATAGTAATCAAGTATTAATCAGTAGTATTCATTCAGCAGGCACAAAGACTTTTCAGAGACAGGAACATACACCTTCAAAAATGCAACTACTCACTGGAGAAAGATGTGTTCTCAAAAAGCACTCATGATAAAGAGATTGCACTCACCAAGGCTACTTCCTAACATGGACAGAACAACCTCATTTTCCCTTTTTGCTCAATTTTCTCACTAGGTCTAAGAAGCAGCAGCAAGGTGTCAACTTCGGGTTTGATTATAGCAAGTCCCTGTTGACTAGAAAAATCACACACAGTTACTAAGGTCTGACTTTCAATGCGTTGTTTAAACACCTGCATTTGCCAACACACCACAAAGCAAATAAACTAAACTGGACTCCATTCACCTCTGAAAGGATCTGCAGGGTGTATTTGTTTTTGTCCTGAATGAAAGATGTTAAACAAGCTGTTAACAAGTCACTCGTGAAACAAAATGAACAAATCTAAGTGTTATGAAAGGCAGAGTTTGTCATCTTAAAGGTCCCTTCCTGCATTTCCTCAGTGTGACTTCTGCAAAGAATTTGGCCTGTCCAGTTTCCAGTATCCACCACTTCTTATGAAAACAGATGCCAAGGATGTCACAACAGAAATGTCCTCCATGCCCTGGTACAGCAGGTCCTTGCAGAACAAGCTACCATCACCCTGGTTTCCTTAACCAAGGAACAGTATTTTTATTCTTTTGCCTTCTTAGGCTTCCATTCCAGTAAATTCAGACCTACATGGAGCAAAAGAGCAGGTTGTGATGGGCAACACCACAGAAGTCATGCAACATGTAGTTCATAAGCTGAGCAGGGACTGCTGACAAGATTCTGTGTTCCCATACAGCAACAGAAAACAGGACTTCGATCTTGCTCCATGATTAAAGCCCAAGGAGAAGGGGGCCACAAATAAGAAATTCAGTGGGAGCCAGTACCAAGTGAAATTGTTTAGGAAAGCTGTATTTACATTCCTGTGCTCTACTACACCCCAAGTGCTCCCACAGAATCATCCCTAGTGAACACAAACCTGACACGGGCTCCCTAAACACCACGCTGACCTAGCAGTGAGGGGTTAACAAAAATACTCTGACTTAAGAGATCTTAAGAAGATTAAATACAGCAGAAGGTCATGAAAAGAAATGCAGGTGGGAGTCTGGTCACCACAGAGCAGTGAATGTGTTCACTGCAGCACTGACACGGTATTCAACTGGAGAACAGCTTTGCTCCTTTTTGTATTATCACCTGTGATTATGTGACACAGCAGTGAGTCTCCAGTACAGTCCATGACTTCCTAACAAGATCTGCAGGGACAACAGACTCACGTATCAAGCCAAATAATCCACTAGATTGATAATAATTCCTTCAATAATTTGAACTGAAAGTATTTAATGCCACTGTTTCTCCAGTTGCATGTTTAGCTTTTAACATTACCAAATCAATCACGTCAATTCTACATACGTTTAGAGTTGACTAATCAGTGTTCGGCTTCCAGTTGTTGCACAAGATGTACTTAACTACATTGATTTTTTTCCTCCATTAAATAATACATAAGAAGCTTTTCTAATGATCTCAAAATTTGAAAGTGATGAGCTCATCACTTTGAAGCCAGCTTTCTATTACAAGCCTCACTTCTATCAGACTTCACCAGATCAATTCTTACCACACCAAAACTGGGTCACAGATCTTCCCCGCTCTCTGAACTGGTAGCTGATTTATATATCTACACATATATACACGATCAGAGAGGTTTTTCAATACCTCTAAGCAGTAAAATGCAACTGATAGGTATTTCTTCTTCAGCAGTAAGCTTACAGAAGACAATTCTGTTGTCTCACATTGTTTTCAAACAGCTATCAGCACAACAGTAATACATATACAATTAAACTGATCTCCATGAATCAAAAATCAGAAACAGACTTAACACCTACACAATCAATCCATAGTTCTGCATAATTTTCTCTGCTAAGGAGCTGTAATACTGCACTGTTTATTGTTAAGCTACTAAGCAGCATCACCACTTGAGTCTTACAATAAGGATTAGGTTCAGCTAAAGGGAAGCTTGGAACACAACTCCCTAAGGAAGCGCTCACACCTGCACAGAAGCTAATCCAATCTAACAGAAATTAAAACTTTTTTTTAATTTACCGTAGTCAGATACAGAGAAGGGACTTCATAGCCTTAACATTACCATCCTCATCATGAGCATAGCCAGATTTTACTAGACTTAAATCTGCTCCAGTATAACAAAATAGTAAGACTGAGCTTTAGTGTTCCAGAAAAGTGAAATTGCATTTAACTCTCCTTCCTTCCTGTATTGTCAAAAGCAGAGTTAGTTTGTACCTACACTATCTGTAGTCCTTAGTGTTCCTAAAATAAAAGGCATAGAAGAAGGTAGGAAGGACAATATCAAGCAACAGTATCAAAATACTTCCTGAAGGCAAGTGCTTGACAAACAAAGTAAAAGCTAATACCGAGTGATGAGAAACACAACATGGTCTCTACTTAATGCAGGTAAGCACATTCTAAGAAAACTTCATTTAGCTTGGTAAGGACTTTTCAGAACTATCTGTATTTCCAGAGCACATTTGGCTGGTTTTTGCTAAGCTGAATCACAGATTCTGCAGTTACTGACTTCTCCTCTTCTCTCCTCACCCAAGCCAGCTTATTTCAAAGCTTCACAAAAACAGAGCTGTTTTGTAAGGCCTAGTCCTGTGAACTATAAATAAACACAAGCCATTAAATCTTCCTTACTTGCAGCATACAGTGCAATCTTGTCATTGTCCTTGTGCTTCAGAAGATTTTCTGCATAGTTCAGACGGCTGCCTTTAAACCATTCCGGGATATCTGCAATGCTTTTGGATGTATCAACCACCTGAAAGAAATACAATAAATTCCTGAAAAACTGTAATATATCTTACTTTTCAGAATACTGTCTAGAAATTAGCTAATTAATTCCAAGCTATTTATCCACTGTTAGGCAAGAATCATTTCTCACAGCTTACAGATGGCAAACGGACACTAGATCCTGTAATTACAGGCCTGGAAGGATTAATTATTTGCCAACTGTCACAAGCAAAGACATCATTACAACAAAACTAGAAAGAGTTCCTTGCTGACAGTTCTACCTTCAGACCAGCCTTAAATACACCAGTGAAGCAAACCACCACGGCGACATCCAGACCACAAGGTACACACAGCACACGCTGGGGGTTTTTGCCTCTGGGAATATCCCAAACAGGGACTGAGCTACAGCACATTACAGCTCTTTACCAGGCCATACAACCCAGCTTCCCTCTTAAAACAAAAATAAAATTAAAGCACAGGAAGGTAGGAGTACCCAGTCTTCCCAGTGTGAGTCACAAAGTACAGAGACCTACATGAGGAACTCAGATAATGGCAATTCAAGTTAACTCTAGGCTAAATAAGTGACCTGTACAGTCAAGTGTAACTAAAAAGTTCAAGCTTTGAAACAAACTGTCGGAGTGCACGTTTCTACCACCTTTGATTTGCTGTTTTCTAAAAAGAGGGTCCAACAACTTCGTAAGCTCATATTAAGTAACTCCTCATTCAGGATTAAGACATGTAAAAAATTGAAAAATCCAGGGAAAAGTAGTAAAAAAAGTGTTCAACTGAAACAACTTCCCTCCACCTTGAACTATTTAAGCCTCAAATATTAAATTATACCTTGACAAGTCACAGTTAAAATAGTTTTAATAACAGGAATAGGTAAAGAGCCCCTTAGCATTAGCGATAAAAGCCTGTAGATTCCTTCCAAAAACATCCCCCATTAGATTCAACTGCCCAGCAGCACATGTATTTTGTAATGTTTAAATTGAAACTTTAATAGTTGTGTTTGAAAGCTTCAGTTTATACCCTTGGGTTCTCTCTCCTGGACTGCACATGCATTACAGAAACACCATTCGTTCAGACCAAGTAAAAGGCTCTTCTGAAAGCCAAGTTGAACTCAAAATACCTCCCATTCCAGAGAACCCAGTATTTCTGTGCTTTGAGATGTGCAGTGCATGTATCACTGGAGGCAGTCCTAAACTTAAGTTTCATAAGAGGAGTTAAAGCCCATGTGGAAATGCTCCACTGTATCACTATTTCCAATGAATTTTCTTAATTTTCTAAAAATCAGAACTCAAGAAGATTTCTCTGCTTTTAACAATTAGCAAGAACCAAGCTACAACATTTACAAGGTATAAACTCAGGCCGCAGAAGTGTGTTTTAATGCTAAAACACATTACTGCAGTAATTGGAATTCTCTCTTAAAACTGATTCATTACTGATTTCCCTAGCTTGAAGAAGAGCGAGCAAAATGTTTCAGTGTTTTCTAGAACAGCAGCTAATACAACCCTATTTTTTTCCTGAAGTGGAACACCCCTTTGAAGGCTCTGCCAGCATAAAGTGCTGGACTCACATGCTTGATGCTCCATCAGTTTTCACTCAGGTAACACCTATGATCCCTAGTTAAGCCCAATCTTTTTGGTAGTGGTGCCTTGAACAACCTGATCTTGCCTTTAGAGCCGAGTTTTCAGCAAGCAACAGAAACTCAAGCTCTGCTAATTATTTAGCGGATGATCCCGGCCAGATGCCAGTTCTAGCAAGTCTATAAAAATGCAGTTTTGCAACAAGACTTCCACTTCATACAGTCCCAACAAACGCTCAGCAAATCCACAGGAAAGTACAGTCTACAGTACTGCAACTGCCATCCTTTATAAAGTAAGCTTTTACACCTACTCACAGCAGCACCAAGGCACACAAAGCCAACCTGCGTGGTTAGGTGAACCTGCCAAGTGTGAGCTGCACTCCCATGCTACCAGCTCCTGTTCTGGCATTGCTCTTCACAGCAGTGACCACTTCCCAAGCCTCAGTAGCTGCAGATCAGCATCACATTAGCCATATCCTCCATCCACACCTCTACTGCATTTCCCCTCCTTGAAGTGGTTTGCTAGTTGTGCTACCGCTATGCATCATCATGCCCTGGAAATTCTGCTTACCCCAAGCAGAGACTCTACCTCTGACAATGAATCTCACTGCCACCATGAAACAGATAATCCTTGCCATGCAGTGGTACAGGTAATAACCTGAAGTGCGAAATAGAAAAGCTAAAGAGCAGACACTGTCAGAATGCTCAAAGCAGCCCCTCCACGGCAACAGCTGTCTGTGCTTCTTGGAGCAAAAAGAATTACGCTTAGACTACATTTCTCATTTCAACAGTTACTTGTAATTTGACATAATGCCAATGCTACCATGCCAGCATGGCTTTGCACACTGCAAGTACCTTTATTCTTTTCAGAAGTGTCATGAGTATCAATTGCTATAGATCAGTATGAGTACGTTTACATCAAATACTAAAAACCTTTACTAGACTCTGGCTGCCTGTATTACCTATACACAAAATTTTATTGCTGTCCTTACAATGACCTGTGAAAGCAGAAACTGTTTCACTGGCAAGGAACAAAGGAGTCAATTCTGGTTCATGAAAACACTATTTTCAAAGCATAATGCTTGCTTCCAATGAGCAGCAGGGATCAAGCTGTAAGGCTCCAAATCAAACTTTCCAACTCTTTACCTACCACAGAACAGCCTTTCCTCCTGACATACAAGAGAAATGGACCAATGGTAAGGACTAACAGCAAGTCAGCCTCAAGGCTCAATAAAGCTGGAGTCTACCCATGAAGCTTACACCAAGGGAAAGTCAGATGGAAACACCAAGGTCAATGAAGAGTCAGCCAAGTATCCTCTGCAGTACTTGTCTACCAGCTGGCTCTGTCTCTACCTGCTTTAAGATCTCACATCACAGCAAGACTTTTCCTGTAAGCCTCCAGACCCTGCATGCACATTCTACAAGAGGTCTAGCTAAAGCCTTCCTAGGCATCCCTCTTCTTGCTTCTCATCCACAGGAAACATCCCTTTTTAGACCACCATTGCCTGCTTCAGTCTCTCTTCCAGTTCACCAGCCAGTGGTGGTGTCTGGAGGGACAGATTTCCAGGAGTACCAATCCTGTAAGACAAGAGAACAAGAAGTGTTACTGCCCAGCTTGCTCGGTACAGATACAAGGATGCAAAATAGCTCCTCTGAACTGCTTGCTCTGGACAATTTGCATTCACGTGGAAAATCAGAAAAACAGCCTTGCTAACAGCACATAGTATATAGAGAAAATAAACAGTATTCAACCTGGACAGATTTTGAACTACCATCTATAGAAAAAATAAAATATTAAGTATTTACAGTCTTCAGATTACCAACCTCAGAAAGCAGGCTAGTTCTTAGATTCTTGCTGAATTCACTCTTCTAAAGGGTAGATCACATTAAGACACACAAGCATGCAGTTTCATGGCAGGAGAAAGCACTTGATCTATCATACCACGCAGTAGAGAAATATGTAAGATAGGAAAAGGTAAAATAACTCACCAGTTTCCCTGCAGAACTGCCAGTACTCTGGGTGTTCTTAGCACAGATGGCCTCCAGGGATTAGGTACAAGTCCAGTCTACTTTACTATGTACCACAAAGGCTCCTCTCATCAAGCTTTTGGAGGCATTAGTCCATCATTTTCCACAGGGTGATGTTGATACCCTACACCAGGACTGTACAAGGGCTCTGCCCTCCATTTGCAGAATCTTCGAAGCCATTTTAACCACAAAGCAACACTGTGGTATGGTCTGCTATTCCACCTGTGATTGCGTTCAACCACTACCAATCCCTCAGAGATATTTCAAGCCTACATCTCATTGCAGAGACTTCCATAACCAGTTCTACAAAACCAGAGTGGAACAGGCGTGCTTATCAGGTGAGCTGACTCAGGGAATGTAAACATGAACTTGACTGCATGCCAGCATTTACAAAATCAAGATGATATTCTACCACCGTAATCCTAAAGCGAAAGGCAGTATATCAGTAGACTCCTCACAAGCAGCCAGGACTGCCAAGGTATTTGAGGTATATGACTGCAAGGACACATCAGAGCACTTTAGGACAACGTAACTTGAGGATTTCACTGTTCTCAAGTCAATCAGCAACAGACCACAACCATCCACCACACAAGGAAACTCAGGACTATACATTTGATGGATTCTTCACACCACTTGCAAAGGTTCCAGGAACAGGTCAAAAGACTGACTGTAAAACTAGTTTATCTCTCCCCTTCATGTTGCATATGACCATTTAAGATAAATACTGACTTACCTCATCGTACAGGCGAGAACAGACGATGTTGCTGTACTTCCAGAATTCTGCCCAGAAGTCCGAGTAGGATTCCACCGACCACTGGTATAAGTCATCATAGTTGGCTAGAAGAAATAAGAGTCTGTTAGCATCATGCAGAGAACTGCGGGAATTTAGCCAAACTACATTAGGGATATCCCAAATAAAGAAAATCTGTGGCTAAAATGAGTAAGATAAAACTGGGGATTGGACTGGATGATTTTTTGAGGTCCCTTCCAATCCCTAACGTTCTGTGATTCTGTGATCCCACAGAGTGTATCACTCCTCTGTTCAAGGCAAGCGACTATGGCATCAACAGAAATAGTCTACTTGAACTCCTGAACAGATGGCATCATTTCACCTGATTGGGTTACGAGCCATTTGCTGCCACAGAGATGGGGACTTTTTCTAATAACTCTCTGCAACATCCACCCCCTCACCCATGAGACTGAAGATGAGACAGCAGGACAGAGCCCTGCTTGCTGATACTTCCACTCCTATCATATCAACATGATGCTTCCAAATAGTAAAAAATAAGCCAGTCTTCCTGACAAGAGACATTTGCTGTAGCGTTCTAGTCCAGGAGCAAAGACCTCTTACAGCACAGCAACATGGAGAATAGATGCATTCGTTACTTAACTGTAACATCAACAGCATTGTTACAAAGGAATATGCAATATTCCTTAATAAATAAGGAGTCTGACACATTGCAGCTTACCTTTTCATGCTCAAACAGCATGAACTAAGTTAAACAAGACATTTACTAGCTAGATACTAAAGTCATGACCCGGCGTTAAAAACACGGAAATGAGCAGTTGAAGTCTTGCATGACTGAGACAGATGAAGCGTGGGGGAGACTTTATCAAAGGAAAGTTCAAGCTTCCATCTCCTCCCTCAAAAACCAATTGTACCACATGCTCTGAATCATTTGATAAATGCAAAAAGCCACAAGTCACCACTAATTTGGTTTCTTAGAATCTGAGCAGTTCCTTCTGTCTATTCCTTAGAGTTTCTCTCTAAATAAGCTTTAGCATTTAAGTCCTTTGGGGCACAGATTTGTTATTCAGCAATTAAACACTGCATCTTGTTACTACATTTTCAGGGTTGGACAGAGCCATCCACACTGCTTAAAGGGTTATCTTGCCCTTAGCTCTCCTCAGTCAGTCCACATCTTGATGTTACATAAAGAATTCATTGTTAGTTGTTGAATAGCATACAGACAGCGAACATCAGTTCGCATCTAATGGCACTTGACAAAGGTTTCTGTATATGCAGAGGGATCCACTTTTCACTGGAGATAGCCACTTTAAAATAGAGTGAAAAAAGTTCTAGCTGTTACAGTCACAAACATGAGCAGCTCATCTGAAACTGCATCCAGTCTTGACCATATGAGTACCAGTTATGTGCTATTTCTACGCAGCAGTTAGCCAAAATCCTGTAGTAACTTACTTCCTATGTAGCAGCAGAGTTAAACACCATAGAAGTGTTCAAATGTGAAATCCCCCAGCAGTCAAACTAATGACCTGACTTGACCACATATTAAGTTCCCAATCAAGATGTACAACTGTTTTCTAGACATGAGCTGCTAGAAGCACCAGATACATTGCTAGTACTCCAGAGTATCTGTGCTTATACCTCAGACATTTACACTGAACTGAAAAACTTGTCAGGCCACTTGCCAGAACTACTCCCTCCATCCCCCATCAGACAGAGGGTGACAGTAAAGCTACACAAGCAACCTGGTCCCCAAATACTGAGGGAGTATAAACAGAAAAAACAAGCCTATATGAACCAGAGGGTCTGAGCCCCACATGCACTGACATCCACCTGGGTCATGATGTAGATGGGCCTGCACAGCCAGCACCACTGATTCCCTGGAGACATCACATATGATCAGCAGTCCTTGAGAAACTGAACAATCTGGGGCAAAAGACACCTCTGGAGGTTCAAGTCACTACTCAAAGCAGTGCTAAATTCAAAGCTGATGGGCTGTTTCCAAGTCAAAGGACTGCACACCTATTCTCAGCCATATACATATTTCTGAATGACCATGAAGCAGAGCATGAAGTTCAAGAGGTTGGGCAGATGCAGAGAAAAAACTTGTGTGTCCATCACTAAACTAAGTTACACATCACCTTGCATTTCCCAGCATACTTAAAAATTACAAAGATACACTGTTCACAAACAATGTTGCAAGCATGGCCTTAACTGAAACCTCACACACATGGTGTTAAAGCACAACATTAAGGCTTACATTAACCTCACAGCCACAATGGCAATGATCCCTGCCTCCCACATCCCCTTAAAACACCAAGTCACTTCAGCACCACTGCTTGCCCCAGGAAATCCCCACAAGCAGGACCTCAACAATGCAGAGGAGCACAGAGCAGGTACCAATGCCTACACCGCCCGGGCTGCCATCCAGCACCAGTGACAGATAAGGCTGTTTGCATTTCCCAACAGCACACACCTTCACGCTAAGCGAGATGCTGCGCCGGAGGCCTCTGCATGAGGCAGAGCATCACGCTCGCAGCCTGGACCGCTGGGTCCCCTCACACCCCGGGAGGTGTCTGAGCACCCCGCGGGCACCTTGCCTCACCGCTCTGGGGTAGGGGCTGGCGGACGGCGGGCAACCTCGCCACGGTCCCGGGATAAGGCCAGCCCCATGGAAACAGAGCCCTGCCAGCTCCCACAGCCAGAA